TCCTCTCTTATCTAAACCTACTTGAAAACCCATTAGCGGTGCTGGGTACACAAGCGAGGTTTGATTAATTGATTGGTATGGTGGTCCTTCGTCTGCACGCAGCGCGCGCTATGCCGCGTTAATAAATAGATATTTTATTTACAGATCTGGTATCTTCAATGATAACATTAGAAATCTCACAGGAGGTCTTTGCAACATATATTGGTCATAAAACTGAATTTACTTAAATGAACTTTATTAACATCTTGATTTTGATTTTAATAAATGTATACATCTGTATTCTGACATTGTTGTACAGGTTTATTGTCTGATGATTTTAAGTTTATTGGGATAAACCCCGCCCCCGTATATTATCTTAATGACACCTTCTCCCTCCTCCCCTCTCTTACAGATAATACGCCCCGGTCCTAGTATAGATAGCCCGCCCAACCTTCCACCACGCCCACCATCGTCTTGTCTTACTTATTGAATGACGTCTCCGCCCTTTTGTCATTTAGACTAATGACCTGGGTTCCCGCCCATCTCAAAGCATCAAACATATTAAAATAGAAAATTATATTTATGATATTAAATATTATGGGTTGATTTAACAATGAAAAGTGAAGATTTTTCTTCAAAAAATGTGAATGATTGATTTGATTAAAAAGGACAAGAATTGGAGACAAAATAATTATTAAACTGAATAAAAAGTGGAAAAAGAGACATGGGAAAAATGACTCAAAGGAAAAATGAATAAAATGGAAAAAAATATATAATCAAATATTCTAAATGAAATTACCATGCATTGACTTGAAAGGAAAGAAAAAAAAAGTTTGTAAAGAAAGAAAGTGAAGAAGGGGGGGGTATACTAGAGATAAAGAGGGGCCAAAGGGGGGGGGGGAGCATTGTTAATTAAACCCAGCAAATGTTTTATAATGAGTTTTTAATGAGTTTTGTCTCGTATTCGACCATGATGGAGTCAGTATATGAAGAAATGGTAGTGGGAGATAATGTTGTTTTTTTATCTTCAATGGTTACGTGTTTTCGATTTGTACTATGATGTAATTTTTATTAAGTACATAGTTTACTGTAGGTAGATGGAAGTTACATTACAAAATTAAATGAATGTACAGTGTGCAACACTTTTGTTGTACACAGCACATAACCTTGAACATGTTTGCCATGTAATCTAATTAAAGCTTAGACATCGATTTATCAAAGTTTCTCTTCTCAACTTTCTTCATCCTACAACCCGACTAGAACCTTTTCCTAAAATTAGAAAAGTTGAAAAACAACTTTTATCAATTTTAACATCTAATAGATCCATAATTTGTAGAGAGGGGGGGAGAGCGAATATTAGACTATTTATGAGACTAGGCTTTCAGGGCGCTTCGCGTCTATTTTCTTTTTCAATTGTGAACACTTTCTCTTTGTAT